TTTTTGCATGGCTCACTTATGATGACAGGGAGAAGCTTGGTTATAGAGAAGCAGCACAGCTCCTGGCCATAGCCACTGTGCACTCATTGCCCCCTCCCAAGGCAAAGGCCGTGTCTCTTTCATCTTTTGCATTGATGAATGCTAATGCAGTACCTAACATATAATAAGAAAACTAAAAATGTTCGATATGTGCCAAATTGCTGCAGTTGCATACAGTTCTTTCAATAATTTTGGCAAGTAGTCTTTTGAAAAATATCATGAAACGCATCTTTATCAATTAATGGTGTCCTATACTCAATATCCATCACTTCAACATTGCAACAGCCCTAACACTGTTAGCCTAGCAGTTCTTGGTAATGACAAGAACATCTAATGCCATGTGATGTGAGTAGTTGAGTGATCCCATTTCTAGGCTTCATTTCAAGGGTTTCTGAATGAGGAACTTTCTCAATATGGTCCTTCTTTGTGCAGAACCTACTCTCTGTGTCTTTGAATGTACAAGTAGTTTCTCAGTAAGACTTTCAAAGCCTAAATATCTAAATCTGACCAGAGAAATTTCCTAGAATTTGTTTCCTGTAAGCTACTGACCCGAAAGAGAACTTTTTTCTCCACATATTAAAAACATAATTTGTGTGAATAGCTACTCCTTTAATTTCTGTAACATGAAATTATGCAGGCTTACTGACTAGAAACTTCTCCTGACGCATTTCAAATGTCAAACTGAGAAGCATATTAGGGAGTTTCAGCACGAAATCTCATATCCAGTATGACCTAGCATCAAGTCATCTAAGAAATAATAGTAACGGAATAGTATTTGGAAATGTGGCACAGTTGTTGAAAAGCATAATCATCTACTCTGTTATCAGAACATAAAAATCTCTATAAATTTTAGCCTTCAACCATGAATGAATGGTAATGGTTAATGGGATATCTTCAATGTTTCAGCAGTTCCAGAAAATGTCTCGGTCATAGTTCTTGTGTGGTCTGGATGTAGGCCCTAAAGACTGAAAGAACGTATGTTTTGTTTAGTTTCTTATTATTTTTCACATGCTACTAATTTATTTTCCTCCAGGTAAAGTAAATGAACACCAGAAATCAAAATGACTAATCTTAAACTTTTCAAAAAGCCCTCAGAGTAGCCAGCTTTATCACAACATTCATCCACATCACCCCTCTGTTTCTAATACTTTTCCACCTCGTTCAGAGAATTCTTACATATTCCTCAAACATTATTTCAAGTGTCAATTACTGTCCTACCTCCTCTGAGGAAGCCCATCCCTTCCCCCCTCACCCCTGCAGTCTTCACTAGGGAATCATTTTCTCTTTCTCCTCTGAACTTACAGCATCTCTCATCGTATTCTGTCTATATCCTTCCTACTAGACTGTGACCATCTGGATGCCAGAACCATTTTTTAACCTTGCAAAGGATCATCAAGTGCAAAGCAAATAAAGTGTTAAACAATGTTTGAGAATTTAAGGAGGAAGAGCAACCAACATTGTAATGTCTTTAGATCAGTTACTCACACAAAGATTCTCTTTTATAGAATCTGTGCTCTGCAATCCTGAATCTCAAGCTAAATATCACTATGGTCTGAGCAACAGTCAGAACATCTCTGCCGGTGAGCACGTCATACTCAGTGTACATTTTCCAGAATCTGGGCCAATGTCCTTAGGCCAGAATTTGCTTCATGTGGATTGACGGCAGAATTTATAGGAGAAGCTGCCTTAACAACGTCAATAACAAAGAACACTGATCTTTCCTAAAAGAGGAATCACACTCCCTATTCTCATGCAGGTTTCCTCTGGCAGAATCCCATCCTCTGTGAGACATGTTGGATAGTATAGAACAGAGTCATCAGTCTCACCCACTTTTTTTGCAACAAAATTACCTTAAACCAACTGTACTCAAATCACTGCTGTCCTCAAACAAAAGCAACTCTGAAGGGGACGGTAGTCTTGACCCACAACCCTGTTCTCAGCACACAGAAATGCTAGACTGTTTCCTTACATTGACCACAAGGGACAAACCAGTAAAAGCACGGCGCTGACTTGAAAAGGAGAGAAAATGAGTTTAATGGGCACAGATACTAATTTCCCTACTCTCGAGGGTATTACTTCACTTCAACAAATAAGCATATGCAGCGAGATGATTCCTGTTCCACCTGAAGCACACTGCAAAAGCAGGCAAGTATTTTGGCCCTGGAAGGAAGCAGTAGCAGTGGCTTTAAAACCCCTAGAGAAGTAGGTGAGAAGGAGGCAAAGAGGGTACCTCTGGGTCAGGCTTTAAAATACAGATTCATTTTGTCGATTTGGCTGTTGTTTTATGTTGTGATTCAATTAGAAATACTGGGTAGGGGATTACTGGATTTTTCTGGGGTCCTCACATGCTCGAAATCATTCACCACTGACACTTGAACAATTTAACATGTTGGAAAATAAGTCCGTGTTTCCAATCCTCTACACTGTGGAACTAAGTGTTCCCAGCTTGTTCTATTTTTGCCATTGGACCATTTCATTTTGAAGACACACTTGGGAAAGATGACAGCATTAATTTAGCCAACAATATTTATTTTGTTTTCATTAGTTGTTTTTGTAGTTTCATATTTTGATGCTTGATCTGATAAATGTATGATACCCAGAGGATGACTCTGTTTATACTAATAACAGCATCTCGTTCACACTTCAACAATGATAGAATAGTTGGCTTCACTGTCAAAAGAGCATGAATCAGAAAGGCTCTTGAGAAGAGGGGTATTTATAATGCAGATGGAAACTACAGGGAGGGTGAGGTGAGGCAGGTAGGGAAGAAAGGAAAGGCAAGGCACTGGGTAGAGGTGGTGGGTACGAGTTCTCTAAGCAGCTGAGTAACTTGAGCAAGTTACTTAAACCACTTAAATCTCAGTATTTTCGTCTTCAAAATGGGTATGGGCCAGTTAGAGTATAAAAAAAAATTCGTCATTCTGTAACTGTATACTTGCATACATTGAGTTTATAGTTGTATCAACACTATTTAATTGAGCAACGATGATCCTTGTGATCCCCTAACAGAAAACTTTAGAAAGAAGAAATGTATGGTACAAATAATTTGGGGGAATCAATAAGTAATAACAACCATTTATTGGGTGATTCTGTGACGGGCATTATGCTCTTTTGTGCATGTTATCTTATTGAATCACCACCATCATATTGCTATATGGGTATTTCATCCTTATGCTAAAAATTAAAAAATCTAGCCTCAAAGGGTTTATGTAACCTGCCCAGTCACTTATCTACAACCAAAATTCAAATCCAAGAGTCTCAGACTTCCAAGCCTGAGCATTTAACTACATCACCTCTGAGTTAAATTCCAAAGAGGCCATATTTATAAAATTTAATCTTTCAAGTGTACATTGCAATCTCAGGTGCCACAGAAAGGACACACCATTTTGCTGTCAGTATGAATGGCCATAATAGAGACATTCATTCTATTGCACCACACTGCACAACTGGTAGAGCAGGGGGAAAAGGTAGCCTTAGAAATAAAGGCTACTAAATACAGAATAGACAAACAACAAGGTCCTACTGTATGGCACAGGGAATTTATATCCAATAACCACAATAAAACAGAATATGAAAAACAATATATATGTATGACTGATACACTATGCTGTATACCAGAAAAACTAACACATTGTAAATCAATTATACTTCAACCAAAAAAAGAATAAGAGACCAAGAACAAAAGAAATAAAGGCTTCGGGAAACATTCTAATAAAGAAATAATAAGTTTTTAAATTTATTTTATCATTTGTTTATGAATGTTGGCTCAGAATGCCTACATCCAGGAAAATGGGTTTATGCTTCCGTTACTGTCCTAAACATATTAGGTGAGAATCACCCTTATATGTCTGTTTCCCTCACTAGCCTTAGTATTTTTGAAAATGAGAACCCAAGCCTTATTTATCTTCAAATTTCCAGCATGTAATCCAATGCTAAATACAGAATAAACAATAAACATTAGCCATACACAATTTAATGAATAAGCATTTCCCCAAAACCAATTTATCCTGAAAATGTACCTTGGTATCTCTTCCTTTGTGAGTCTCTGAAAGAACAAAAAAGGACAAAAGCAAATGTTTAATTCTACTAAAGTGGAAAAGGGAAAGCAGCTGAGGCAGAAAAAGAAACTCAACATTTTAAATATCGTTAAGCATCCATGTAAAGAGGAAATCGTGCTACCAGTACAACACTAAACCTTACCAAAAAGTAGGTAGCCTGAAAACTATTTTTTAAATGTGTATGTTCCTTATCTGATATAATTTATAGGAAAAATGTTAATAGCATTTTCTACGAGATGACTTATAATGACTTCAAGTACTTTATTCAACCCTGCCAAGGAGAGTGTGAAAAGTGGCCTATTGTTAAGCTCTAGAAGACGGATGGGGAACTGAGCCCATTAGCAGCTGAGGGAGCATGGTGTTAGGAGACATCAAGGAAGCACTCTGGTCTTAAATTATGTTGTGAAAACTTAAAGATGTGAAGAGACCAGAAGTAAAGGTTCTACTGTCATAGGAGAATCTTTGTCCTTGGTCATCTTCAAGGGTATGTGGACTGTCTGGCTCTCATTCCCCCGTCCTCCTTACTCATCAGTATCCTAGAGTAAATAACATCCAGTGTAGTTATGTATATGGAAAATGAATCTATAGTTACCCCAGATTAGATTTCTCATATATTTAGAGGATGTGTCCACATCAGTGGCCATGAGTCATATCAAATAAATGACCACCACTCCTTAACCACACTCTTAAAATTACGTACAAAAATAGCTACTTAACTTAAATCCCTGCTGAGTCCTTTTGTTGTCTTTGCATGCTGATTCAGAAGGACTATTTGGTGTTTAAAATCTTCAATGCTTTCTTTTCTAGTCTTTTTCTTGCTGTTTTGCATGAGAGAATACAGAAATCTAAGTCATACTGCCACAGACTCACATTAGCATAAATATTTCTCTTTTCTATGCAATTTAAAGGTTCATCTTATGATGAAAAAAATGAAATCAGTCTTCTTTTGCACAATGGGAATGATAAAGGGTAATCAATAACAATTTTGCATAAAAGGACTTAATTTTAAGTGATAGTGATAGCATTAAGTGGTACTATCTTTGTATTTCTCCTGCTTTCATTAAATTGCTCCTTTAGCTGTGTCACTAAACAGACAGCAGTACATTGATAGGTATCTGAGCTTGTAAAAATCAATGAACAGAGCTCATTGTGGTTTTTTTCCAGTTTCTCCCTGCCCTAGATCCTCCCTCTCTTTACTGCCTTTCTCTGTGTCCAGGGAGACTGGTCCCTGCCCATTGCATCAGCCAGCCTCCCTGCCAGCTTCCTCTACAGTGGCAGCCAGTTGGAGGCACTCCTCACAAGAGACTAGAGTAGGTGTGGGGAATAAGAAGTTTGGGGGAATGCTCCCCAATCCCTCTCTGCTCTGAGTGGTGCCCCTCCACAACTACAGCTCTTGCATGGCAGTCCCTCCTCATTTCTCAAGCTCTCTCTGATTCCAGAAACACCATTTTCCTCTGTTTCCTTTAGACCAGGGGTGAATTCTGTTTCCTTCTGGATCTTGACTGGTAAAACTTGAAAGCAGATCAACTTAAACTTTTTCCATTCCAATCACTTAACTCTGTTGAAAATAACGTCCCTTTTCTTTGTGTCATTGAGACTGGGATCAAACAGTTCAATAATAATATAGCCAGAAGTCATCTTTAATCCTGGTGATCAGGGCACAAAATGATGTTCATGAACTTTGTATACTGGAGAACTGCTTCTCCTTGGCCCCACTCTGGAGTCGCCCTTCTTGCCAACAGGAATGGAACATCATACTCCCTCTTACTGCAGTGAGAACAGAGGACACAGCAGTACTCAGTGGTTATAGAGCAATATTGGAGGAACCATCTTGGGATCTGAGACAAAAACAAAAAATCAATAACACCGATCATGTCTTGATTAAAGTTTTTTATATTTTATTCATCAAGGATTTCTTGCATTAATTTAAACTGTTAGTATAGTGCATTTTTAAATTATTTATTTATCTTGGTCACTGAGTTTTTGGCACTCCCTTTACATTTGATACCCAAGGTGAGTGTCTTGCTCCCCTCTCCCTAGTCCAAGCCCCGTTAGAAAGAGTCAGAAAATGGAGAGTTCTCACAAACTGACAGTCAGGGCTAGGTTATGACATCGTCATTAAAGATACAAACTTGGAATTCAGTTTGAATTTTTCCCCGACTACTTACTGGTTGTGACCTTGGGCAAGTTTCTTAAATCCTCTTGGCCTCAATTTCCTCATTGCAAGATGAACATAATAATATAGGTCAACAAATGCTAATCTGCACTGCAACTTCCAACATGTTCTTGGAACCAAATGATTGTTCACACATTTAGCACAAGCTAATTTGCAGCAAACTCTGACTGAACTGAGGTAAGGCAATTCATAATCTTTATTTTATCCCACATATGAGGCAGTTACTTACAGGGTGCTGCCTCAGATCCCAGTGGGGGTGGTACCAATTAAATATATGTTATATGCGTAATTTAGCTGGTCTGAAATTTGAAAGTTCTAAATTCAAAAACTTAGGTTAGCCTAAGTGTTTTGGATGATGACTGTGAACCTGTATCAGCTCTTTGTGGGGATTCAGTGAGATGCTGCATGAGATCACATCATAGAATACTCACTGGAAAATGGGCTTTCCTAGAACCCTGGAAATTGAGAGCAGAGATTCAGTTCCAGACCCTGATATTACTTGCTCCCTGGTGGAAAGATGACACCTCACAGACACTGAGTTGAGTTCAAAAGGCTATATTAGTTCTTCCAAAAAATGATGTAAACCCTGAATATTAAAGGTGAGTGGCAAGGTGAGAATGAATATTTGTCCTCTTTGTGTGGACAGTGCCACAGGCAGATATGGGTTCCTGTTGGATTTTAGGGGAAGCCAGGGAAGCTCTATGCTGAGATATGCTGTGTACACTCCTATCCTGTGTGGCCGCCTCCCTTCTGATTAGGTTTGCATTCTTGGCTAATTAAATTTGGAGTTTAATCTAACTTTGCAGTATGTGTGTTGGGAGTGGGTCTCTTCCTATCAATCTGTAACCTGGCTGAAGCACTGCAGTGCTCAGGAAACACTGATTATTAATGTCATCTCCATCATCATCGTTGCCTAAAGGCAACAGACATTTTTCAAAATTGAAGCTTTCCTAGAAGTCAATTGATTTACAGTATAATCTTTGAGCAATTGCAAACAAAGACTAACATTTCACTGTAATTATGACTAAAAGCTTGATGGAAGAAAGTGGAAACGTCATCCCAGCCTGGGGTGGGATGTGAACTATATCAGCAGAACACAAATGATGAAGACACATCTAGACTGGACCACAACAGAGACAATTCCTTTAATGGTAAATGACTAAGGATTTTTACCAATTTCCAATAAGAATCGAAAGTTAATTTCAAAGCCTGCTTTATACTCTTCAGAGTTCCCTGTTTTTAATTTAATTTTTAATTTAATGCTTAAATTAACTTGCAAGAACATTATAGAGTTGTTATTCCTCAGGATGGGTTTAGTTATGCTCTCTTCTCTCTCTCTCTCTCTTTTTTTTTTTTGGCTACACATTGTCTTCATAGTATTAGATGACTAATTTGATTGGGGACCCCATTTGTTAACTTCAGTCAGATTCCAGTGCTCAGAATGGGCAAAACAGATCAGAGCCACCCTCAACAGTAAACTTGTATCGGGGGAATTACCTGTCAAAATGGCCCGATGACCTGATATAAACACCCCTCAGACTTGCTGATATTAATAATGAGTTTGTGTACCGACCAGAATCATCTATATGACATAAAAATAGAGACATTCTGTTTGAAGTAGGAGTTGAACTGCCAAGTCCCCCTTTACCCCTAGGTTGCCTGCCCCTTTCCAATGTCTTTACAAAGCCCTTAAAGCTCCAAGGGATCTTATGAGACTCAGTGGGGCAATAGCTCCTAAGAAAGAATCCTTTCCACTCTAGCACTCCCTAGATCCACAAATCCATGAGATTCTAATAGTTACTATTTACTACGTGTCTAATGTACAAGGCCTGAAGCGAGCATTTATTCACGGTATATTAATAAGCTTTAGAAAGACCTTACAAGGTAAGGATTATTTATCCCCTTATACAGATTAAAGAACTGAGGCTGTAGAGTTTAAATAACTTTCTTGAAGTCACACAGCCAGTAAGTGAGGCTCTAGAATTCAAGCTCAGTTCAGCTGACCCGAAAGCCCATATGCTAACCAGCACGTCTATCAGGGAATCCGAAAGAGAAGAAAACAGCTTGGTGAATAAACTGCTGGAAAGAGTCTGCCTGAAACTCATCTTCAAAGGACCTGCGCTTCACAGTGGTTTCCTTTCCACTTTATACAACTGTTTTTTTGTTTTGTTCTGTTTTGTTTTGTCTCTTTTCCTCTCCTCTCCTCTCTCCAAACCACTTGTCTAGGTCTCTAGAAATTTATGACAAAAAACATGATGACAGACAGCTGCCCAGTTTCACCACTTACACCCTAGAAATCCAGACAGCAAGTGCCCAGGGCACTTCTCAGAGGCAATTGCCCATCTCAGGACCATTCCACCATGGACCCATTTAAGGGGGCAGGATAAGGGCATAAAACGGCTGTTCCTGCTGCAGCTGGACAGCAATCCTCAGAGAAGAGAGGTGGAAACAAAATGTTAGAAGGTGGGTCTGTTTCACAGAAACATGGTCCTGACTGGATTTGAAAAAGATGGCCCTTATTTCTGTTTTCTCATTAAAATACCTAACTATTAACTACCTGTTTTATTCATACTTTGTGAATATGCAAAAATCTAGAAGACCAAGATTGTGGTTTTATCTAGGGTTTTCCATTCACTACTTGTACAGATTACTACATGGACAAATGACTTCTGTCCTAGTTCAGTTTATTGTTTGTTTGATTGTTTTTGTTTTTGTTTCTGTTTTGTTGTTGTTGTCATTGTTGTTATATTAAATAAAAGGATTATCTCTAAAGAGTTCTTGATTACTCACATTTTCTGGGTTAGCAGAGCTGTCCAGAAAATATTTGTAATGTCAAATATAAATCCAAGAATCAGGGAGATCTAAGCATAAGTACTAATAATGTTCATATGTAGTTGCTTGGGATTTTCCATTTGGTCCTCTCTCTAATTCTTCAGGATGGTGGTCTAGATGTCATTATGTCATTCCTCTTCTGTGCAAAGAGGAAACATATCAAGAGGTTGAAGAACTTGTTCATAATCACACAAGTGACATCATGACTTGAACTCAGGTCTCCTGATTTAGAGTCAACATGCTGTAGTCATTTGGAATAATTTTCAAATTAGCCATCAAAAAGTCATAATTTTAGCCATTGCCATTTCTCTGTTATTAGCACCTAGTTCTAAGTAGATAAATACATAATGAATGCTCTAGAGCTTTGACTGCCACCTTTCCTAAAGCAGTTGACCTGGCATTTCCGAGTGGTGAGATCAGTGTTGTCACCTGTAGAATTGCAGCCTACCTTATTCTGGAAGATCAGTCTACAGCTGGAGAACTTCTAGGTCTGATATGTTTGACAGTCCCTAATGGGAATCCGTGAACACCTTATCAAGGTGGTTGTGTTTTATAGACGTGGGGAGGGGAGAGTTGTGAAAAGAAATACAAAAAATCCTCACAAATTAGGTAATGCATCTTATTTGTAATTTGCTGTTTTCTTACTCCCAGTTCATCCCTTGTGTCTGAACCAACAATCTATCTCCTTCTAAATAAGGCTATTTAGTCAGCATACCCTGTGAGATTGTGCCTTGTATAACAAATCCTTTGCTCAAAATGGTTCTAATACTGCAATATTTTCAGCTTTGAGGGAGGGAATTAGCCATAGTTAGAAAGGGCATTTCGATAATTCATTTTCAATCATTTTCATGTCAGTAACCACAAGTGTACCTAAATCAGTTTTGGATCAGACCTTAAGTAGGATCATCAGAAAAGAATATATAGACAATGAAATAATGGAATAAATATAACCATAGCCCTTTTACTTCTCCCTTCTTAAATCTGAATGCTGCTTTTGTCCTTATCAATGCATACTAAAATAGCATTATTAAAAGAGATTACTGACCTCCTAACCATCCAAACCAATGGCCCCTTTATCTTTGAATTCTACATAGCATCTGACTCTAGTAATCATCCTCTCCTTAAAATATCCTCCTTCTTTGAGTTTGGAGATATGAAGCTATTGCATTATTTTCACCTCTCTGAAAGTCCTGAGAGTTTTATTCTCTTGCTCCCAATGTTCATTATCTTCTTCCTTTTCTCTCTATTTACCTCTTACCTCAGATGCCACATCTAGTTTCAAATATCACTATAGGGAAGACCTCCAACTACGAATAACTGTACATTTCTTAGCAGAAAGAAGTGGAACAATGGGAGGAAGAGACATGGGCACTGCTAGTCATTCGCCGGGAAGAGAACCATGTGTTTCCAGTCTAGATTTACAATTATGAACTGTTCAAATTTTCATCCTTGTTTGTAAAGCTAACAGTGATCCTCTTTTGCTTTTGGAGTTTGGGCAAGTTTCTTGAATCCTCTTTACATAAACTTTGCCTCTTTATTTCTCTTTTTCGAAAACATAGTGGCCTGTATTATCTGGATTTGATGTCTACATTTATTAATATGAGAGTTATTGGATTTTTCATATTAACTCATTTATTTTATGTCATGCTACATAGAAATAGGTCATGTACAAACAAAATTTAAGCAAGAAGAGCTTACAAAAACTAAATGTGACCCTATGTGAAAAATGTTAAAATGAAATTGTTTATGGCAGTTTTATGGGTATCCTCCCCAAATCTTCATTTGCCTAAAGATTCTTCTTTTTATATAAATTGAAACTTCCATGCTAATTTTGAGGGAGAGAGTAAGGAAAGGAACATGGGTCCCTGAGTCAAGTTCACAGGTTCATATGGACGTCTCACAACCTCCTAGTTCAATGTCAATTTCTATATTTCTGAAACAGAATTATTATAAATGCCTGTTAGAATTCTTGGAAGGATTAGAAGTGATGAAGTAAAATGCATAGAATACAGTAATATCATATTTATAAGTCTAATAGTCACTCTGAATATAGTATAGTATAGCACAATGTCTTCATAGTGGAGGAGGTCGACCAGGAGGCTTAAAGAAATCTAAATGAAATGAAGGAAATCAGACTGTGATTCAACCAAAATAGGGAGCCAAGTTCCAAACAGATCAAGATATCCTGCACTATCTTCTATTCAGTAAACAAATTACAACTATTATTTGTTTTCTTATTTGTGTAATAAAGGAAAGAGCTAAACAATATGGCAAAATCCCAGTCAGTTTAAAAACTTCAGTATGTGTGACAAGAAAAGTCAAGAATTTAAGGGCTGCCTGGATGGTTTATTGCTCTACACAAGGATGTCAAATAGGCTTTTGTATACTTGCTTACTTGCATTATTGGATTATTTGATCTTAGCCTAATGGAGTATGCCATTAGCCTATGAAATATTGAAAAGAATTCAAAGGCTGGATATGAGCACAGGGTGGTCAAGAGAATCTGACCAATGAGCCTTATCAGGTTTAGCTGCAGGAAGAGAGAGGTCAGGTGCTCTGTATCTGCAATCCCTAGTAGTCTGTGGGTATTGGACTGCATTTCATAGCTATATGGGTAGGGGATTTTTTTCCAAGTCTCTCTGAAACAAACTTTGATATAAATGCTTTCTGCCCTCACAAGCCTTAGCAGACTCAAACCTTCATGCCGTGAAAGAATGTTTCCCCTGCTTCAGAAATCAGTGACTGCAAACGGCAGAGGGAACTTGAACTGCTCCATACTGGAGTCAAGCTTAAGGAAAAGAGAAAAGAAAATACTTTGTTCCATGAGGATGAACAAGAAAATCCTACCAATGATCTTCGACTGAGTAGTTATAGGAAAATGCTCTATTTGCTTCCCTGAGCCAATTGAATCATGATGCTCCTTGTACCCTGGGAACATATCAACTTCAATTAGGAAAAAAAAAAGGAATAACTGAGCAGAACGTTTGATCAATTAACGGCTTTATGTTAACCATATCTGTAGAAGGATAGGCCTGAAAAAGTAAGCCTATGACAAAAGCTACAAAACAACGAACCTACTTTAGATTATTCCTAGAAAGCCTTGGGTACATCTCCTGGAAAATGATCAAAGAAATAATGACTCTATTTATCAGTTTTCAATTATCCAGAAGTTGTTCATTTGTGGATGGTTCACATCTCTGTTCTACTTCTGCTCTCTCTGGCTGAATGCCTTTTGGCTATTAGAGTGTCCATGTGCACTTTCATGAGAGATGGGCAGGGAGAGACGTCAGCAAGCGTACAAATTAAAAGACCCATAAACGTGAGAGAATAGCAAGCCCTTTGGCTAAATGAGGCTTATGTATTACCTGTAGATCTAAAACTTCCATGCTTTTCCTGAAATCATACTATGATATCCTGCCAGATCAGGGCTTTGTATTATCAGCATTCAATAAATATTAGCAGAAAAAATGTATAGCATAGTGATAAAGAGCCCAGGGGAGAGAGCTGGGTTACCTGTGTTTACATTCTATCTCTAAACTTAAAGTTGAATGACTATTTACTTGACCTCTCTGTGCCTTAGTTTCTTTATCTGAAAGTAGTATTGTGATAGATTGTATTGTTATCAAAATATGTGTCAAAGGGGCAAAATCTGGAGATGAGAATAGACCAATGGAGAGAGACTAATTAAATTTCTGCCATTTTCACAGCTCCCTACCAACAGCAACAAGGGCAGCTACCCGTGGTGCAGAA